AAAGTTGTTCAACTAACCTTTAATCATCTTCTCTTAGCTTGTTATAACTAACAAACAACATAACAAATGAGTTGCACAGCCTGATACTTCATAGTTCAACATTAACTTCATTTTACCTATTAGTCATTACCATATATGGTTAACTCTAATGGTACATTACCAACTCATGAACCAGATGTCAGATCAATAACATTTATATATCATTTGAAAGCCCTTTTAATTCTGAACAGAAACATATACAAACCATATTCCTTTGACCCGATACCTATGAGTAATTAGCTGATGTTCCAGTTTCAATTAACCCAAAAATCATATCCATGTTTTGTCCATAACTTTCGAACCACGAGTGCTAGCTCAAAACAAACAAAACCTACAGCTTCGCCATCGTCAGTTTATACTAATAAAAGTGTTTGTTTTGATCTTTAACCAAAATTCCCATGTTTCGAATTTCAGTCCCAAAACCCATGTTAAAGTCCCATAGGCCCAGGGCGAGTCCTAATAACTTTTGACTCTGATGTCCCACAACAATATAAATAGTATCTATCGATTCGCCGTGATCAAATTGACCTAATTAATATGTCTGTCAAAGTCCAAAACCCGATCTTCGATGTTTCGAACTTTGACGCCAGCTTCCATGTTAAATTCCCATAGACCCAGAGCTACCGCTCAAAACTCGTGAACCACTCATCACACAGTCATGATCTTGATATCTACAGATTCCTCTCAATTAGTTACGTCTAATAAACACATAAAAACAATCATTCAATTGTTAATTAAAAAGTTAATAATTTTCATCACAACTTCATGCTAATCTCATAAAGGATAAACTCAACTTGTAAGACTTAACACTAACGTTGAAAGTCATCTTTTACTTTGTGAGCTCTTAATCACTTAAGTCTTTTCTTTACCTTTTCATTTCACTAATGCTAATCCTTTTCTGACCGTTGAAATAAACTAGTTTCACACGCCAATTGTAAAGTCAACGGATAACTAAAAATGAACACAATGAGGACTCAGTGAGACTTGACCAGCTCACTCATCTCAACATTTAAATGCTTTCTTTTACTTGATTAAGTCAGTAATTGCTCATCTAACTAAGATAGAAGTTAACCTCTGACTGTGTGTCATTTTTACTTATACTTTGACTGTGTGTCTTATACTTGTATTCCTGTGTGGAATAAACGCGCAAGTCTTTAAATCGCGATTGTGGGGCTGTCTTTTGGTTTTTTTGCACCAAATTTTTTCCACGTTATTTTCAGGCAGGGGGATTATGTTTTTCGCAATAAAAAAATTTTGACCTGGAGATGGACCTTACACCCTTGAAAGCGGGCTTCCTCAGGGTCAGAATTGCGATAATTTGGTGAAAATTTTTTTATTTTAAAAAATGAAATCCCCCTCAAAATTATGCATTTAGCTGAAAAAATTATGTTCCTATCAATAGCTGTTCAAAAGTTATAGCGATTTAAAAACTTGCGCGACTTTTGACTCACCTAGTATTCCTGTGTGGAATAAACTTTCTTATTCATCAATTGTACTGTGTGTACATGTTCCTACTGTGTGTTTGAACATACATTTAAGTTCTTATTTTACTTTAACTATTTTTCATACTTTTACTTCAATTTCAATAAACTTATTTAAAACCTTCATTTACTTGTTTGTTGACCTCTATTCAACTGTGTGTTGATTATTATAAGTGTTAGACTGTGTGTCTAACTTGGTAACATCTTTAAACTTCAACTTCATACACTTTGTGTGTATATTTGGTTAATCAACCAACAGATTGGTTATACTTGTGTTACATCTTTGAATATCATTTTACTCGATCTGTGTGATCTTAAACATCATTATTAAACATCTAACAAATTCATCTTCAAGTTATTTCAACTTGCAATTGTCGATCTTTTTGATATATTCACCAACAACCTAATTTGTGCATTGATCAGCTATAACTTGCTTATCATTGATTATCTTAAGTTTGGAACTATTTAACTATCTTTATTAACCTAACATCAAACTGCCCAGCATTAAAAATCACTTAACTAACCTCTACAAGCCCAGTACCAAGCATCTCAATTAAACCAACAGGTTATGGGCCCAGCAGCTTCTTTCTGAAAAACTGTGTTAAGCTCTGTGTTTAATCTTATTCCAATTATTGTGTTAATCTTTAGTGTTGTGTATCAACATATTCAAAGAGTGATAACATTGAGATTCCTTGTGAATCTAATATCTCTGTGATTTTGTGTTAAATTGAAAATTCTTTGTGAATTCAATCATTAATTGATTGTAACTCTTTGTGAGTTAATTACCAATCGGATTACCTTACTGTGTGTTTGTGTTATCATCTTATTTCAACTTTAAACAACATCTTCACATTATAAGCAACATAATGGCAGGAGCGCAATTCATCATCACCAAACTTAATGACAACAATTTCAAGCTATGGAAACTTTCTGTAAGGGCAATGGCCAAATCTAAAGGCGTTTGGGAGATCCTTGATGGTTCAGAAACATGTCCGGAACCAATTGTAGACGCAGCAGCAGCAGCTCTGGAAGTCAATGAAAGAAACAAGGAAATATCTAAATGGAAGAAGTCGGATGCAATAGCTTCAACAATCATCTTAACAACCATCGATGAAGGTACTGTAGATTTGATTGCACATTATGATACGTCTCATGAAATGTATAATGCTATTGTAAACTATAGAGAAGGTCATTCTACAACGAATGAACATGTCTGTCAAATGAAATATGCTAACTTAGCCTTTACTAGTTCACACACTGTGACTACATACTTTGCAGAATTAGAGTTAGTGTTGAAGCAATTAAAAGCATTGAACAGTCCGATATCTGAGAAAGCTACAGTTCAAAAGGTACTCAAAGATCTTCCAGCTAAATACTCTGAATACAAGATAGATGTTGATAGACGCCTTGTTCTTGGTAAAGAAGTAAAACTTAGCGTAATGAAGCAAATGTTACTCATCTTAGAACAACGTTTCAAAGATGACAAACATAAAGACCATGCTGAAGTTCTAGTTGTTAGATCAAACAACAAACGAAAGTTTAAAAAGAAATCATTGATCTGTTACGAATGTAGAGGAAGAGGTCACACTTCCAAATACTGTAGAAAAGCAAATGTAAATCAAAATAATAGTCATCAGAACAATCAACAGAATAGAAACAATCAGTTCCCAAACTTTACTAATAATTCAAACAGAAGCAATAGCAATAACAACAATAACTTTAGTAATAATAGAAATAATCAAAATCATAATAATTACAATAACTACAGTAATAACAATAGATTTAGCCAAAACTCTAATAACAATAATTTCAATAGAAACTTTGGTAACTTCAATAACAATAACAGAAACCAGTATCGACCTCAAAACAACAGAAACAATCATTTCAATCGCAACTCTAATAACAATAGAAACTTAGCAAACAATGTTCAAGTTGTTGATCAGCAACCAATAAGTGTCCAACCACAAATCAATCAAAACGATGAATTTGAAAACCTTTTTGCTGTGAACTGTGTGTTCTCAAATCAAGCTAAGTCAAGTGAATGGTTGTTAGATTCGGGAGCAAGCTTTCATCTAACATCTAACATTGAAAACTTTCATGAGTTAAATGAACTTGAAAAGCCTATCTCCTTTACATCTGCAGGAGATAAGCAATTTTATGGTATTGCAAAGGGAACCATTCATGTTGAATGTTTCAATGGAAAAGAATGGAAGAAGAGCAAGTTAACTGATGTTTATTATGCACCTGAAATGGGAAGCTTTAATCTTTTTTCTTGGGGTCAAGCTCTAGA